AAACTGCTGACTTCATGGAATGTTTTGTTGTGTTTTGGTTGCTAGAAAACTCCCAGCTCATTACAGCTTCCGGCGACCAAACATCCATTAACAAAACACACTTTTAAAAAAAACAAAAAAAAAAACAACGAAAACAACAAGAAACATGTCGATCTTAGCAACACCTCTCACTCCCATAAAAAAAAAACATTTCTCACTTATTTGAAACAAACAAAACACCCCTTTTCCCACCCCTTTCGGCACGCCCCTGATAATTATTTGCCTTTGAAAAAACAAAATACCGGCAGCTTCTAATATTTGCTCAATGCACGTCAAAGCGGATGATTTAATTTATTACGTTCTGATAATGGCCTAAAAGCAGGATGCCATCGCGTTTATACGTTAAAAATCTGTCATACCTTTTTTGATATTCGGTCAAGAGAATCGCTGAAAATTTAACTATTTCCAGCCAAATGTATCTAGTGAAATATGTCAAGAAGTTATCGTGCTGCAAAAAGGTTTCAACCTTCGGTCTTCAGTAGAGAACGGCGATTAAAATTACAGCTACTTAAGTAAAGCAAGATGAAGGTGGCGGGGTTTGAAAGGATCACAACTAGCGTACATTATCACATCTAGCGTACATTATAACATCTAGCGTACAAGATCACATCTAGCGTACATTATAACATCTAGCGTACAAGATCACATCTAGCGTACATTATAACATCTAGCGTACATTATAACATCTAGCGTACATTATAACATCTAGCGTACAAAATCACATCTAGCGTACATTATAACATCTAGCGTACAGGATCACATCTAGCGTACATTATAACATCTAGCGTACATTATAACATCTAGCGTACAATATCACATCTAGCGTACAAGATTACATCTAGCGTACATTATAACATCTAGCGTACATTATAACATCTAGCGTACAGGATCACATCTAGAGTACATTATAACATCTAGCGTACATTATAACATCTAGCGTACAGGATCACATCTAGCGTACAATATCACATCTAGCGTACAAGATGACATCTAGCGTACATTATAACATCTAGCGTACATTATAACATCTAGCGTACAATATCACATCTAGCGTACAATATCACATCTAGAGTACATTATAACATCTAGCGTACATTATAACATCTAGCGTACATTGTAACATCTAGCGTACAATATAACATCTAGCGTACATTATAACATCTAGCGTACATTATAACATCTAGCGTACAAGATCACATCTAGCGTACAAGATCACATCTAGCGTACATTATAACATCTAGCGTACATTATAACATCTAGCGTACAAGATCACATCTAGCGTACAAGATCACATCTAGCGTACATTATAACATCTAGCGTACAAGATCACATCTAGCGTACAAAATCACATCTAGCGTACAAGATCACATGTAGCGTACAAAATCACATCTTGCTTACAAGATCACAACTAGCGTACAAGATCACATCTAGCATACAGGATAACGACTTACTAATTTTCGATGATCTTTTCAAACGACATGTTGGACGGGGTTTTAAAAATGTCGCGTCTGGCGTACGAAACAATATCTGATGTTTTAATTTCTTGAGTGTCGTGGTGTAAAAATAGCATTGTTTTTAATTGAATCGCGTGGAATCTGATACAGCTCCCAATGTCCGCCAGTCTTCTACGGAATACCAGGCTTAAGGTCATTAGGTCGTAAGGTCACAGCGGGTCAAGGCTTCAGCTTGGAAACTGCAACATTATAAAGCGCATTATTTTCATTTAGATTAGCGCTGTGTTTAAAAAACTCTATTGATAACACGAGCGCTTATGTTTTTCAACGTCGCGGTGATTTCACGGTGACCAACATTCTATTATATTAAAACTTGCGTATCGATTTTTGGTCGAACAAAGCTATTTTTAATCGATTTCTGGGCTAATCAATCGAATTTCTGACCTCTCTACCTATGACACGAGTTGATCAATCGCAATTCTGGATTAAAGTTTGATTAAACAGTAACCCACACAAACCAGGTTCAAGTAGGAACACACTCTCAGATACAAGCAAGTCATTCCATAGGAAAACTATTTCAGATACAAGCAAGTCATTCCATAGGAAAACTATCTCAGATACATGCAAGTCATTCCATAGGAAAACTATCTCAGATACAAGCAAGTCATTCCATAGGAAAACTATCTCAGATACATGCAAGTCATTCCATAGGAAAACTATCTCAGATACAAGCAAGTCATTCCATAGGAAAACTATCTCAGATACAAGCAAGTCATTCCATAGGAAAACTATCTCAGATACAAGCAAGTCATTCCATAGGAAAACTATCTCAGATACAAGCAAGTCATTCCATAGGAAAACTATCTCAGATACAAGCAAGTCATTCCATAGAAAAACTATCTCAGATACAAGCAAGTCATTCCATAGGAAAACTATCTCAGATACAAGCAAGTCATTTCATAGGACAACACTCTCAGATACAAGCAAGTCATTTCATAGGACAACACTCTCAGATACAAGCAAGTCATTCCATAGGAAAACTATCTCAGATACAAGCAAGTCATTCCTTAGGAAAACTATCTCAGATACAAGCAAGTCATTCCATAGGAAAACTATCTCAGATACAAGCAAGTCATTCCATAGGAAAACTATCTCAGATACAAGCAAGTCATTCCATAGAAAAACTATCTCATATACAAGCAAGTCATTCCATAGGAAAACTATCTCAGATACAAGCAAGTCATTACCTGAACACACAGTCAACTTACTGAGGCACACACTGAATAAGTTTCCTGTACTAAACCAGGGGTCTCCAAACTACGGCCCGCGGGCCGTATGCGGCCCGCGAAGTCCCCTCATCCGGCCCGCGGAGATCTTTCTGTCCAAGGAAAAAACGTTTGTCGGTGATTGCTAAGGAACTTTGCCCAGAAAAATGAAAGACATGCCTGGAAAAAACTGGCCCCCGAACAGAAATTTTATAGTTAATGCGGCCCTCGGACTGAAAAGTTTGGAGACCCCTGTACTAAACTAATGGGACAGCGCTAGACTGCTCAACCGAAAAGATCGAGATCACCCGGGTTCAAATCAGAAGAATGACCATGAGGCCACCCAGCTCTGATGGACCTAATTCACGTTAAGGAAAATAAATGCGACTGGGCATAGTGCTGACCACATTATCCCTTTATATGCCGAGGTCACAAAAACAGGTGAACTCTACTTCACTTGCCCCATGGAGCGTCAGGTTCGAAAAAGAAAATTTACTCTAAAACTAGGAGCACTAAACAGAATCCACTGTTACAAATAGCTGGGTTATATGTTTCGGGGGGTGAAATACAAGATGTGACGGCCATCTAAGCCTGTCGGCTGTAGACAAAATGAATCTTGCATGTTTATTAAGTTAAAGATCCTTAGAATAAGACAACAAAAGTTTACAGTAAACTTAGACGTATCACGTGACAACAGAGACACTTAGTGAAGGATAATAGTTCAATGCTGGTAAAATGTAAAAATAAAAAAAGGATTGTCGTCTAGTCTTAGTAGTGTTACTCCTGACCCCTACTCATGATGCCACAGTCCCTCCTGGTCCCTTACCCATGATGACAGTCCCTCCTTATCGCTCCTCCCACATTTATTTCAAGCCCCCCCCCCCCCACATGTCTGTGAATCAAGTATACCGCCCCGATTACCTCTAACGAAACACAGGATATTTGTGTCCCAAGTCTCAGATGCTACAGAAATACACCTGTGTATTAATCGAGTCAAGAATTGATCGCTCACAGTAATTTTTACTTTCTCGTATATACGAAGTATAGAGAAAGTCTTGTAATCGTGCAAAAAAAAATCGAGATTTTTACAAATCTCGACGTTTTACACCTCACTGATACGGAAAAACATAATTTTGCAATCTTGTCCGTATGTCTGTGTGTCTGTCTGTCTGTCCGTGTGTAAACACGATAACTTAAGTACCGTTACAGCTAAGTTGATGAAATTTCATATATAATTATTTTATCAAAATCGTAGATCCATATCAACTTTTGAGCGATTTCCGATAACCGGAAGTGGTACTTTTCCTACTTTGAATTTTTCAAAAGCCTATAACTTGAGTACTATTTCAGATAGATAAATGAAATTTTACATGTAAGTAAAAGATCTAATTCTCTACCTTCTGTAAAATTTTGAGTAGTTTCCGTTGACTGGAAGTAGTAATTTACGCTACTTCCGATTTCTCAAAAAACTAATGTAAATTTTAAAAGTACTAATAATATTGCGCACTATTATGCGCTTTTTTATTTGGCGTTCACTTGGTGTGCAATTAATTTGTCTACGAGATTTTATTCTATTTTTAAAACTTTAAGTATTTAAAATGGATTAAAAATCATGTCTATAGCCCGAGTTCCCATCCCCTGTTATTTTATTTAAGAATATTCGAGAAAGTTTTGGGGAGATCACTCCCGGTTCATTTTCAAACAACTTTATATACACACTGTTGTAATATTTGAGGGCGATTGGCGCGATAGAAAGTTGAAATTTTCCTGGATAGAAATTGAGTCCATTCATTATCCAAACTACATAATTTGTGAAATTATACGGGACAAGAGAATGTAAAAATCCGGTTATCATTATGTAATTACCCGCTTGTAATTATTACTTTAAAAGAGCATTTATTTAAAAAAATACAGCAAAAATTACATTTGTTTTTGACTTTGCAATTTTGTAATAAAATGTCACCTTTTTTCGCCACTGCATTAGAAAAGCAAAATAAAACCTTAATCGCTAAATGACTAATTTATTACGTCCCATTGACGAGTTATCCGGTAATTACCTCCCTTAAATTAGAAAAAAAAATTAAAATGATTAAATTGCACTTTAAAAAAAATGAAATTAAACCGGAATGTTTAAGTTACCATGACCGAATTCTAGACGAAATCAATGACCTGTGGCACAGGTTGACCCAGATTTTCCATGAACGTACCTGATGCGCCCAGGCTGACCCAGTTTTTTACTTACCTGGTGCGCTTTCTCGATGAGCTGTGATTTCGTCATCTCCTCGTACACGATCACCTGGGTCACGTGGGGGCTCTGGGAGGCGATGAGTGCTGACGTCAGACCCGTGGGACCCGCCCCTGCAAGCAGGGAACACAAGTGTCAGGCAGTGTCAGTTGTAGTGTCAGTGTCTTATAAACCCATTCAGTGTCATAAACGTTATTATATTTTACATTCTTAAAAAGTTAGCACATAAAGTTAACTTCTGAAACAATGACAAGCATATGAAATGACAAATGTCACATTTATTTTCAAAACAAAGTTATAAGCGTAATTTCAATTTCATATGAAAGTTTTTAAATCCGATTTTTTTTTGTACTCACTTAATAAAAGCATATGAATTTCTTTTAAGATTTTAGTGCAATTGAAAAGATGTTAGGCTTAGATTAAGTTTTTATCAGGGTTGTTACACATCTCCCTACTGTTAAGTCGTGTGTCACGGTCGTCACGTGTAGTTGTACTACGTCATTAGCATGTGTACTACGTCATTTGCATGTATTCTACGTCAACTGCATGTGTGCTACGTCACCTGGATGTGTGCTACGTCACTTAGATGTGTGTTACGTCACTTGGATGTGTGCTACTTCACTTGCACGTATGACACATACAATTCATGTCTACTTAGTGTTTTTTTATAAGGGCTACATCTCTTATATCACATTTAAAAAAAAAGTTCACGCGCAGTTCGCTAAGGAAATAATCAGACTGTCAATAAAAATGACAAGAATCATGACAAGTGTTTTTGTCGCTATAAGATTGTCAAGAGAGCAGAAATTAGCCTGTAAATCTACTCTAGCCAGGCCTCTGATACTTTGGCCCACTGTATGTTATAGTGAGTTGTTTGTTTACCTACAAGAGTACGGTGCACGCCGGGACAGGAAAATAAACAATGTTTGTATGGAGGAATTGATGCGGAGTGTGAACAACATGGTAATGTCACTGTGAAGGTGTGTGAGGTGTGTGAGGGTGTGAGGTGTGTGACAGGTGTGGGGAGGGTCTAGTTGTACCGGGTGGCTAAATAAACAGGTGTGATGGGGTGGGGGGGTGCCAGACTTGTTGATAGCTGACTGATTTGTAAAGGTACAAGGTATATTGGTTACCTGCTACTTATGTACCTGGCGGCTCCCTGCTACTTATCAGGTACACGTTTGCTGCCTGCTATTTATCAGGTGCAGATTGCTACCTGCTACTTATATTGGCTACCTACGAACTATCAGGTGCAATTTGGTTACCTGTTGACTACTTTTAGACTTCCTGCCAGTACTACCTGGCTGCCACCCAATCCCCCCCAAGAAAACACACATGTCATTTATCCCGTAACATTTTCCAATCACTGTCACAACCTTGGTGTCAGTATGTGTCAGCCGGTGACACCATGGGAGCTACACCGTCTTTCATACAACACTTACACCACGCGACCAATGACCTTTCTACTTTCTTATCACCTGAATCAAATGTAAACTCGATCAAATCAAAGATAATCCGGGTGAGGGGTGGGGGGGGGGGGGGTTGTAAATCAATACCGTTACAACTTGAGTGTACTGCATGAGATAACAGGGTGAACACTGCTTTAGAACATTCACAGGGTGAACACTGCTTTAGAACATTCACAGGGTGAACACTGCTTTAGAACCTTAACAGGGTGAACACTGCTTTAGAACATTCACAGGGTGAACACTGCTTTAGAACATTCACAGGGTGAACACTGCTTTAGAACATTCACAGGGTAAACACTGCTTTAGAACCTTTAATTCCAGAAGTTAAATACCGTTTAGAAATTGGCACTTGCCCAACTTTCAAACAGTTTAACTGTCAGCGCGGCATGTTGTATATACTAACGGTTAAACCATCTGGCTGTATAAGACATGTCGAATAAGCCAGCGGTTTAACAGTCTAGCAGCTAACGCCCTGTCTGTTATACTAAAGTTTATTAAAGATTTATACTATAAATTATAGTATGACAGATGAGGCCAATACTAATACCCTAATGGTAAATTCAAAGTGGAAATGTCTTTAAGGCAGGTGAAGTAGATCTCATCTGTTTTCGTGACCGCGGGGTATGAAGGGATGTCACATCTGGGTGAGATGTAACCTGTGGCCGAACTCATGAAGAGCTCTACCGCTCGACCACATGTCATACACAAAATATTTTGTAACACACAAATAATAAGAACTGTAGTTCTGTATATACGAATATGCTTAAGGACATTTTTCGCTTTTGAATCTATCAGTACAATTGACAATAATCTAGAGATGTTTAACAAACATTCTTGGAATAGTTTAGTCTGCATTCTTGCTGCCTCCATCTTTTTCCGAAATCTTGTTCCGCCATCTTTTTACCTCCATCTTGTTCCGCCATCTTGGCACCTCCATCTAGTTCCGCCATCTTGCTGCCTCCATCCTGTTCTACCATCTTTGTCTAGCACCGTCGTATTGCGATAGTTATTGTGAAGCCACCATCCCATGTGACGCCAAGAATCCGAAGTTATTACCACTATTTATCGTCACAGCGGGACCATCAAAATAAGACCACTATCTTCAACCAGTGAATTAATGGTCTCGTCACAAAAACGTCGACATATTCTGCATAACGATCGCAATAGATCACCCGCTAAACTGACTTTTAAATTTAATACGGTCAACTACAAGAGGCTGATAAGCGTGGAGCAGACTTTTTGTAAGACTTCAGGACGTGGAGCAGACTTTATGTAAGACTTCAGGACATGGAGCAGACTTTTTGTAAGACTTCAGGACGTGGAGCAGACTTTTTGTAAGACGTCAATACGCGGAACCGACTTTTTGTAAGACTTCAATACGCGGAACCGACTTTTTGTAAGACGTCAATACGCGGAACCGACTTTTTGTAAGACTTCAATACGCGGAACAGACTTTTTGTAAGACGTCAATACGCGGAACCGACTTTTTGTAAGACGTCAATACGCGGAACCGACTTTTTGTAAGACGTCAATACGCGGAACCGACTTTTTGTAAGACGTCAATACGCGGAACAGACTTTTTGTAAGACGTCAAGACGAGGAACAGACGTCTTTAAAACCTCACATATCATCCTTGCATTTCAATCTAGCCATAAACATAGCTCTAACCGTAACTCTAAATATTCCGATTGGGTGTTGTGATTTGCAGTTTTACGTTTGGTGTTCTTTTAGACAAATTTCAACTAGGAAGACCTAACCGAAATATTTCGATACCCTAATCTTCCAACACCATAATCGAATGCTTCAGTACCCGAATATTACAATATTCGATTGTTTTGAAATCCTATTGCTTTATTATCGGAAAGCTTCAATACCCGAATGTTTCAATATTCGAATGTTTCAATATCCGAAGGTTTCAACATCCGAGTTTTTCGTTGCCTTGCTAAACCGTGAGTGGATTAAACTAAAGCTTAAACCAAACACCATGTCACCGTGACACGTGTACGGCCGGTGATCACGAGACAATTGTAGAGTACTCTGAGGCTGCGCATGAATACTTGAAACTTTCTGGGGGTGTGACGCGGTCGATGAAATTATGACACGTTTAATTTTCTCTGGCGGGCTTTAGCTGTGTCATAATCTCATTACACGGGGATTAGGGGAGGGGGGGGGGGGGAGGGGATAATTTGTGGGCTGTAATATTGAAGATAGATTTTGGGGTTGGAGAAGGACGGTAGCTACTTTGAGGTGTCGGGTGTGTGTGAGGTGTCGGGTGTGTGTGAGGTGTTGGGTGTGTGGGAGGTGTTGGGTGTGTGGGATATGGATAATTTAAAAAAAATGTAACGCAAAAATTATTTTCTTTTCTGAAAAAGAGAGCGTTTTTAGGAATGTAAAAGTGGTGGCTTTACAGCACTAAAACCAACTCCACTGACCACACCATTATAATGACACCTTTTTTCTCCCATTGGTTGCTTGGGTGAACGTCAGTCTAAACAACCGCAATCTATTTATATCACAATATCACAATGGCACAACTTTGAATAAACAATCGCGCGGACTGAAATAACTCACCAATAACGGACAAATATCAATACCATGTACTCACGAATAACGACAAATAACATTGATGTGTACTCACCAATAACGAACAAATGACATCACCATGTACTCACCAATAACGGACAAATCACATCACCATGTACTTACCAATAACGAACACCGTGCACCCCCGTGTACTCACCAATAACGAAGACCGTGCACCACCGTGTACTCACCAATAACGAACACCGTGCACCCCCGTGTACTCACCAATAACAAACACCGTGCACCTAGCCATCTGACGTGTACTCACCAATAACGAACACCGTGCACCACCGTGTACTCACCAATAACGAACACCGTGCACCTAGCCATCTGGCGTGTACTCACCAATAACGAACACCGCGCACCTAGCCATCTGGCGTGTACTCACCAATAACGAACACCGTGCACCCCCGTGTACTCACCAATAACAAACACCGTGCACCTAGCCATCTGACGTGTACTCACCAATAACGAACACCGTGCACCACCGTGTACTCACCAATAACGAACAAATCACATCACCGTGTACTCACCTATAACAAACACCGTGCATCCCCGTGTACTCACCAATAACAAACACCGTGCACCCCCGTGTACTCACCTATAACAAACACCGTGCACCCCCGTGTACTCACCTATAACAAACACCGTGCACCTAGCCATCTGACGTGTACTCACCAATAACGAACACCGTGCACCTAGCCATCTGACGTGTACTCACCAATAACGAACACCGTGCACCTAGCCATCTGACGCCTGACGTGGTTGTAGTACGACTTGGTCACCACAAACATGGTGATCACCAGGAATGTCACCAGCAGGTTCTGGGCCACCACCGCCGACTGAGCCGAGCGGAGCGCCTGGACATCGCATCCCACCATGTTGACCGACGGAGGCTTTAGGTCGGAGCTCAGAGAAAAGGAAGCGGAAGTGACTCCATTTTTGGGCGTGTCGATGTGGTGGAGGATATCCAGCGAGTTCTGGTTGAAGTTGAAATGGTTGCAAAAATTCATTTGTTGTGTTGACACCCCGCGGGGGAGGGGTGGGGCCAACTTCCGGTTGGTCTACGTTGTCGGGACATCGTGACGTAGTGGCGACCATCCATTCCACATTTTTATGTAACCTGGCTGTTATCGTTTAGCAGTTTCACAAAGGTTGTTATACATGGAAATTCCTCAAAGGCTGCGATGAATGGAAATTCCCGAAGATGTTGCAATAAGTGGAAATTCCCACGAATGAGCTCTCAGTAATAGTGCGCCTAAAATATATAAACAAAACAACTTTTAAAACACGGAAACAAAAAGCTCATACGAAATATTTTTTAACAAGTCTGATGAACTGACAAAAATTTTGAGAGGAAAATGTAGCGAAACCTAGTTTAGAAGTGATTGATTTCTGTTCTGGTACAACTATTCTTTAGCAGTCAAAATGTTGTTAGAGTTTTCCGATCAGTTTGTTTCGTTTATCGTGTCTACATCTAATCCATGTTTTCAATGTTTAAATCAAAATAATTAGGTCAATGAGGTGACCGATTAATGGATGTTGTCGTTTATTGAAATCTCTGTTCGTTAAGCAAGCCCCGATAGCCTCAGGGGAGGAGCGGGGTGTTAGGGAGGTGGGGGTGTTAGGGAGGTGGGGGTGTTAGGGAGGTGGGGGTGTTAGGGAGGTGGGGGTGTTAGGGAGGTGGGGGTGTTAGGGAGGTGGGGGTGTTAGGGAGGTGGGGGTGTTAGGGAGGTGGGGGTGTTAGGGAGGTGGGGGTGTTAGGGAGGTGGGGGTGTTAGGAAGGTGGGGTTGTTAGGGAGGTGGGGGTGTTAGGGAGGTGGGGGTGTTAGGGAGGTGGGGGTGTAAGGGAGGTGGGGGTGTTAGGGAGGTGGGGTGTTAGGAACTTGGGGGTGGTGGCAAACGGCCTTGTAGACAGGTAGCCTGAACAGGATATGAGGTGTTGCTGTGACCTGGACAACAAAGCTGTTCCCAGCTGTTTATCTTATCGCCAACAGCTGAACAGCCGCTGTACAACAGCAGCTGTAGACCGACCCACGCTCCTACAATCAATTGATGTGGCTTTGATCTCAGGTGAAGGGAAAAACCTTTTTCAATGTGGTTATCTGGTCGAAAAGTGCGGTATGTGGCGGTTTGTGTGGGGTAGTGAGTGTGGGGTGAGGGGTATTGGCGTGGATGTGGGTTGTTGGTGTGGGGCTTCGTAGTGGAGGTTTGTAGTTGTGGGGTGGGGGTGGGGCTTTCTGGTGGAGGGAGCGGCATAATAATAAGCTGACTTTATTTAGTAATCCATAAGTGTTTTATCTTGAGAGTTAATGTGTGTGGGGGGACTGGAGCTGATGTGTGAGGACATAAGGTGATGTGTGTGGGGGGACTGAAGCTGGTGTGTGGGGTACTGAAGCTGGTGTGTGGGGGACTGAAGCTGATGTGTGGGGGACTGAAGCTGATGATGTGTGTGGGGCGCTCTACGTAAGGATTCTGTGCGGGGACCCAGTTCGGTAAACTGATGTTGAGCTACAGTTTAAACTGTTAGTTGCCGAATGATGTTTATAATGACAGGGGGTGTTTAGTAGAATCCGGTGTTGATGGTTTAGGGTTACGGGCTAATGTCGGGAGGGGGGGGGTAGGTCATGGTTGCGTGTCGGGGTTTCGGTTAAGGTTTGATGTGGGTTTTTTGTGATGTCGATGTTTGTGTGGTAAGTCTATGAATGGACGCAAGTTGTATAATAACATAAGTCTATTGTACAGTTGCTTAAACCACCGTGCACTCATGGTTATGAAACATCGATCTGTAATTGATTGAACTAGATCTCGCCCAATTGACCTGACAACACACTCGACTATATTGGTTGTTACGGGTCAGTTGTAGGTTAGACTAGAATAGGATAGAATGATCTAGAATTAGGGGAGAGTGAGTGTGTGTGAGTTGAGTTTACCCTAGAATATTGTTAACCCCGGTGTGTTTGTGTATTGTTATCCCAAGGTCGAATGCGGTATAAAAGCTGGAGTGAATGGTTGTCAGGGGTTAGTTAGTTGGCAGGGTTAGGTCGAGGGCTATGTTGTATTGTGATATGTGAGACCTAATAAACGTATCGAACGTTAACCCGAGTCGTTCTTGAATTCGAATCTAACCCGGACGTAACATTGGTTAAAGATGCAACGATACACTCAAATAGTTATTACACCTCATTCATCTATACCTATTATCTTACCCTAACTATCCCAGTCTAGCTATCTCACATCAACTATCCCACCCTAACTATCCCACCCTAACAATCCCATCCTAACAATCCCATCCTAACATTCCCACCCTAACAATCCCACACTATCCCATCGTTACTACCCTAGTCTAAAAATCCCACCAAAACTATCCTATATTAACATCACCACTACCAGTTGTAGAACAGTTACCAAATTCCTGATAATTGTATCCTGTGTGTCAAAGACCTAGCCGTCGATATGTCAGGTAAAAAGAAAAACCTGACTTTAAATGACATTAGCCGACCCTCATTTTCTTTAGTTGACAATTTTTTAAAACACTCTTTTTTCATTGTGAGGTAAAGTTTAAAATTACCTGTACACATAACACAATAAAATCAGAGCTAAAGCTATGGTATTTCAAAACACAGTTCAGAGCTAAATCTATAGTGGTCAGAAACACACTTCAGAGCTAAAGCTATTGTTATCCACACCACAATAAGTTCAGAGTTTAAGTCATTACGCTCCACCAAGTCTAACCACAAAGTGACACCATGTATATCCACAACACAAAAGGTTACACCATGTATATCCACAACACAAAGTTACACCATGTATATCCACAACACAAAGTGACACCATGTATATCCACAACACAAAGTGACACCATGTATATCCACAACACAAATAAGTGACACCATGTATATCCACAACACAAATAAGTGACACCATGTATATCCACAACACAAAGTTACACCATGTATATCCACAACACAAAGTTACATCATGTATATCCACAACACAAAAAGTTACACCATGTATATCCACAACACAAAGTGACACCATGTATATCCACAACACAAAGTTACACCATGTATATCCACAACACAAAGTGACACCATGTATATCCACAACACAAAGAAGTTACACCATGTATATCCACAACACAAAGTGACACCATGTATATCCACAACACAAAAAGTTACACCATGTATATCCACAACACAAAGTTACACCATGTATATCCACAAGACAAAGAAGTTACACCATATATATCCACAACACAAAGAAGTGACATCATGTATATCCACAACACAAAGTTACACCATGTATATCCACAACACAAAGAAGTTACACCATGTATATCCACAACACAAAGAAGTTACACCATGTATATCCACAACACAAAGTGACACCATGTATATCCACAACACAAAGAAGTTACACCATGTATATCCACAACACAAAGTTACACCATGTATATCGACAACACAAAGAAGTTACACCATGTATATCCACAACACAAAGTTACACCATGTATATCCACAACACAAAGAAGTTACACCATGTATATCCACAACACTAAGAAGTGACACCATGTATATCCACAACATAAAGTGACACCACGTATATCCACAACACTAAGAAGTGACACCATGTATATCCACAACACTAAGTTACACCACGTATATCCACATCACAAAGTTACACCATGTATATCCACAACACTAAGTTACACCATGTATATCCACAACACAAAGTTACACCATGTATATCGATAACACAAAGAAGTTGCACAATGTATATCCACAACACTAAGAAGTTATACAACGTATATCCACAACACAAAGAAGTTACACCATGACAATGGTTATCCACAACACAAAGTGACACCATGTATATCCACAACATAAAGAAGTTACACCATGTGTATCCACAACACAAAGAAGTTACACCATGTATATCCACAACACAAAGAAGTTAGACCATGTATATCCACAACACAAAGTGACACCATGTATATCCACAACATAAAGTTACACCATGTATATCCACAACAAAAAGAAGTTACACCATGTATATCCACAACACAAAGTTACACCACGTATATCCACAACACAAAGTTACACCATGTATATCCACAACACTAAGAAGTTACACCCTGTATATCCACAACACAAAGTTACACCATGTATATCCACAACATAAAGTTACATCATGTATATCCACAACACAAAGTTACATCATGTATATCCACAACACAAAGTTACATCATGTATATCCACAACACAAAGTTACACCATGTATATCCACAACACAAAGTTACACCATGTATATCCACAACACTAAGTTACACCATGTATATCCACAACACAAAGTTACACCACGTATATCCACAACACAAAGTTACACCATGTGTATCCACAACACTAAGAAGTTACACCATGTATATCCACAACACAAAGTTACACCATGTGTATCCACAACACTAAGAAGTTACACCATGTATATCCACAACACAAAGTTACACCATGTATATCCACAACACAACTATCAATGTCACCTTGACCTCCATTTGCTAATTGAACCGTGAACGAACAGATGTCGACCGTAAAACCACCACACCACGTGACTCAAATGGTCCAGTAATTGATGTCCCGACCACGCGGAACAAAGAGATATGATTGGTCCACGTGATGGTCAATGTTTACATCCGGTATTGAAACGCTGTCACAAGCAATTAAGGGCGACAACCGAAGCCAGACACCGCGATAGGGTTGGAATCAATAAACAGACGCGAGGCAAGCAGACGACCAACGGTGATCAGACACTGTCGTAATGTGGGGTATGTCTGTACTTAGGAAAAGGGGTGGGGGGTGGTGAGGAGGAGTTGGGGAGTGGGGGGGGGGTGACACAAATGATTAATGTCAGCCGTCATGTTGTTGTTCATAAGCAACAAGAGCTAGGATTACATTACATACACGACCTCTAGATACAATTACACCTGCCATTACACTGACTCTAATACACGTAATGACCATTACGCTGAGATTTACCATTACAACGAGACTGCCAATTACACTGACATTGTGACAATAAGCATTACACTCAGATTGACCATTACACTATTACAGACCATTACACTGACTGATCGTTACATTGAAACTGACCATTGCAGAGACCGTTACACTAATATTTTCCATTACAATGACCATCGCTTGCATCCACTATTTGCCATCATAATACTGACCAATGAACGTGTTTCCCTTACTATTTTG